GGGCACGACAATAACTTAATGTGTTGCACAACATTGTGTTTAATTCTTTCAATACTCTTTTTTGTATTTGGTGGATGGTAGGAAGGCATCAGTGACAGGTCCTACTTTTTTCCTTTCTCTTTTGTTCCTGTTTTTCTATTTTGCTTCTTCCCTGCATTTTATGACAGTTATTGTGTTGATGTGCTTTTCTTTACTCAAACTCAAATTCTTGTATTTGGGTCTTCCTTCAAAGGACACTGTTAAGTCACAAGAGCTTAAAAACCAGTGAGCAAAAAAAACAATAAATAAATCTTTTTAGTGCAGAATCTTGGTCTGTCTCCTTTTGATGGATATTTTGGAAGACAATAAAGTTAAGGGCATAACAGAGCGAACAGAGTAAAGAGGTCTTGATTGTTGCTCTCTGAGAAGTAGTTTCTCCTTCTGTTTCAGGTACTGAATCATGACAGTAATAATAAAATACTTCCTTTTCCAACTGTAGAGACTAAATAACCTCAGAAAAAACTGCGGTTTCCCTGTTCCTAAATGGTTTCAAGGGGCTTGGATGTTTAGTGCTTTGGCCCCAGGCTGTAATCATTAATTCTGAGTATACTTTTTTTTATGTGTGATGATAAGCTTTGCCATAAATGTTTTGCTATAGTTGTGGGTTTTTTCCCTATTATTAGGCTGTGTGAGATATGTGCCTGCTTTGCACCTGGTAAATAACTGAATTACACACTTTCTAAAACTGTTTCAATACCTCTCTCTGCAGCAATATTGGGCAATGCATATTTGTGCCAGTTTTTTGGCACTGGTCAGAATCCTATGATCCTCAAGCAATGCATGCAGGCCTATGGACAAGCAGTAGGTGGTTTTCTATATACATACATATAGCTTTTACATACTGGGTTTATGGTTTATACTATTAACATTCTTTGTTCCTAATAATGGTGTTAATACTGTTACCTGTTCAGACATACAGGTTTTTGGAGGGCACCACTGGCAGGTCTTACTTCTTATCTTTTCTTCTGTTGTTTCTGTCTGTTTGACTTGTTGGTTTAATTTTCTTGCTCTTAATGACATAATTGTGGTCATATGCTTTCCTTTACTGAAATTTAACAAACAAACAAGTTCTGCGCAATAGGGAACTGCTTATAAAGATATTCACCTTCTATGACAAGGCATTCTGCTGAAGGACACGAGGCTAGGGGATGCCTGATTTACAACAGAGACAGGGTCTGTCCTGCTGTCCTTGGATATATGCGCCTTAAGCTCAATGGCATGCTGTGGAATATAAATGTCTATTAGTTCTATAGCTCTAGGTAAAAACAAGATATCTTCTTGTATTTCAGATGTGATTTATGCTTTAGAATCAGATTCATATTTCTATTTTGGGGGTGATTTACGAGTAATTGATGTATTCGGAAATGGAATAACTTTGTTTGTTCTTTTCTGTTGTCGGTCTAGTTAACCTTGCCCTTGTGATTTTAAACAGGACCGCCTGTCTGACCTCTTGCCCATTGTTCATCCTTTCCTCTGTGCAGTTGTCTTTTGTGATTATTTTTGTATTTGCAGCGGGTATATTTTGGTCTTCTGAGTAAATTCAGATTTAATTTCTGTTCTGCACAGGAAAAAGATCCAGTAGCCCAAGGCAACCCTGATCTGTATTTCAACAGAGCTGTGGTAAGATTTGTTCAGAGGTGTCCTGAGTTGATTTTTTTCTAACATTTACCAAACAATGTTGTTTCGTTGATCTCTTCTTTGTTTTGTATTGTTACCATTTCTTTTGTTAGGAAGTCAACTAAGTAGATTTTTATTTTGAATGAGTGAAGCCGATACGATGTGATCAGTTTACTTTTCTCACTATTGTTTCTTGGGAAATTGAGTCAGGAAGTAGTGTGCTATAGTGCTTTTGCTTTGCTTTGTTGGGTGTTTTTTTCCAGAGTTTAAGAAAAGTCTAAAGACACATTTATTCAGCATTATTCTTTGCCAATAGTTTACGTATGAGAGAATGTGTGTGGGTTTGGGATGGGAGTTAAGTTGTGTGTGTGTGTATGTGTGTGTCTTTTATTATACATTTTCTGTCTTTTGATTTTTAGTTGTATTGAATGATAATTCTGGATTGTACAGTGCTGAGAGCCTTCAAGGGATTTAGCGCTATATAAATTCACATCATTATCATTATTATTATTGTTATTATTATTATAGTACATGTGTGAAAACAATTGTAAATGCTTTTGTTTTTATTGGTTTATGTCCCAATGTTCTGGATCCCATGTGACAACACTGCCGGTTGTTTGTTCAGTAAAAGTTTTACGGCACTTGCAACACAATAAGGTTATATAAGTGCCGAAGATTAGAGGTGTTACAAGAGAGTATCAAACACAAAATAGAAAGAGGGGAGATAAGGACGATAGATGTTTGATAGGAAAGAAGGAGCAAACCATACCAGAGCACCCGCCAAGCGCCCACTCACTGCCAGTTGTTTTCTCCCAGGCATACAAGTACCAAGAAGAATACCTGCTAGCCTTGGAAGGTTTCGACACAGCTGCCCAACTGGACCCAAGTTGGGTGGAGGCGCGGACCAAGGAGACGGAGCTACTCTCCTATCTCAAGGACGTACAGGAAATGGTGGAGACTAAGGTGTGGGAATTCTGTCAAGTATTGCGAATGTCCCCAAAAAATCTGCAGAACTGAATAAAAAATTTTCAGGTTTTTTTATGTTGTAGATTACTTGTGACACCAAGAATGTAGGGGGGGGGGGTGCACAAAAAAACTGAAAATTAATAAGCTGGGGGGATGCTTATTCGATACCTTACAGTACTTCATTTGCTTCTAGTTGTAACTCGAGAGCTATTTTGCAGCTTTGTAAAAAAAACTTGCTCTTAAGATAAGTTATGACATGTATTAGAGTTATGACATGTATTAGAAATAAAACCCTTTTATTTTTTGCTACAGGGTAAAATGACATGTTCTTTATATCAATATCTATTGTCATACGTTTAGTGATCATATGTTTCATGATTAAATTTATATAAATTTTGGAAAAAAATCTTGCATCTTCTCAATCAGCTATCAGCAGCGTACTATTGCTTCCTGAAATCGGGGGGGGGGGGCGTTATCCTGTTGTAGCCTGTAATCAGGCCATTATGAATGATTTTTACATTTGCAGGGTAAGGCGAAAACCAAGAAAATTGAGAGCCTCATAAAGAGTCTTGGAGAGCGAGATCTCGGGACGTATAGCACAGGGCAGTACACAAACAAAGCTGGCAAAAGTGTGAATATTGCTCGCTGCCGTCTGAATGACCTTCAGGTCAAGGTCAATGAAGGGAAAGTTGTCATGGGAGCTGTTGTGTGCAATGTCCACTCAAATGAGCTTGTTCCGTTGTAAGTACAACACTCATACGTAATATTATCTTTCATGTTATAAGTTACTTAACTGATATAGTTGAAATAAATCTGTGTGGTCACAGAAACCCTAACTCATCAGGAGACGCCCAGAAAAGACTTTGATACTTTTTTAGTATATTCTTGCGTTAACATTGGCCGACTGAGCAGTTGTCTTGAAGAATTTCTTTGTCATAAGTTTTTGTTGTTTAAAATACTTGTTTTTTATGCAGGTTATGAATTACCTTTCTACTGGTCAAAATGGTTCTATCTGTAATGTGAAAAGTTGTCTGAATTTTTAAAAGAGCCAAAAGGGCCACTCAAAGTCGTTGAGCCTGACCTTCAATTTCGTTGAAGGTATTGTGAGCTTTTGCTGAGTGCAAAAAGGCTGAATTACTTAAATGCTCTCCTTAATCTTATGATGTATTGTTTGCTGAGCAAGTTGCAGTGTAAGGCCCTAGCATATGCCAAAGTGTGGTTCAACAGACCAGTGTAGAACTTCTTTTGAAGATCTAGCTACATTCAGTTTTAAGTTGCCAGGGGGGGAAATTATGACTGATTTGCGCCAGCATCTTTGCTGAAGTTCCTCTTCTAGAACACTTATACTTAGGCCCTGTCCCCCACATCCACATTCACATGTTGGCTGCCCTGTGAAACTTCCAGCAAATGCTAAGACACAATATTTTCGGAGAGAAAGAAGCTGAAAAAAATATAGATTTAGTGGCTTGTATAGAACTTATATGCTGCTTTTGTTTAGCGATTTGAGAATTTGTTGAAAAATTGACATCATTGTAGTTTATCTTTATTGTTATTTATTATTTCTAATTGTTTCCTTTAGCACATTTTGCATGATGGATGAGGACCAGACGTGTGTGGCAGTCACAGTGTACAACCTGGCTCAGGGCGCGGGGATGAAGATCGGAGACCGCATGGCCATCCCAGAGCCATGTGTTAAGAAAGTCAAGCTCTCCCACAAGGGCACGGTGAGTGTTGTAACATCTCAATCTTCCTTGATCAGGTCAATGCTGCTGTATTTTTATCTGTGCTTCTGAGTGAAGCAGCTCAGTGCAATGTCACCCACCAAGCCAATCACCTGTACGAACAACCACTTCCCATTCCTCCCCCCCCTCTTATCTCTGTTTCATCAAACTAAATATTTTGTCATTGTCCAAGAAGATCGCATATTGAACATACTAGCACACCTCCCCCTTTTTAAAATATTGATTTTAAAAAAAGGACGTGAGAGTTAATTAACAAACAGGAGAATACAAGGAAAAGATTAGCGCGGTGCGGAACTCCCGGAAAGCTAAAAATAGAAGGCCAGTCATTACCTTTCTGCCCATCGCGGAAAGGGAGGAGGGGGGGGGGTGAAACAAGACTGTGACGTCATGCCCATGATGAAGTGTGCCTCTTTTTCTGTCTTCCTATTCCTTTTTTCTTCCTCCAGAAGTGTTCCCTTCCCTTGTCGGTCACGTGGAAACAGGTTCCCAGCGTCTGGCCAGGCCAAAAGGTGAAGTCTGCCCGGTAACGAGCTCCCTGTCACGTTGGCGAATCTGTTCTTCGTTGTCATTCTTTGCTTATCCTTCTCTCTCTCTCTCTCTCTCTCTCTCTCTCTCTCTCTCTCTATTTCTCTCTCTCTCTCTCTCTCTCTCTCTCTC